TCTTGCAGCTTCTATTATTTTGAAGCTATCAAAAAAAGAGCTACTTTACAAGATTTGAAATCAACCAAACAAGCTGAAAAATTATTATCCTAAGCAAACCAATAACCCCCCTCCCCCTCCAGTCAAGGACCATTTATAGGTAAGATATACCAAAAGTTTCATTTATTATCAAACATTGAGTACATACCATCATATAAGACTACAGCATTAGAGCCTTTATCTAATATATCTAACACGCGACACTTTGAAGTTAAGGTAGCTGATGGTTGGAATGGTTGATACACCTCACAATACTGTTCACCATGTAATACCTGTAAATAAACAATGGACTCTTCATAGTTATTATGGTATAATGGGAAATGGGTAGTTAAAAGGATTGTTAAGAAGACTTTAGTCAAATTTTTGACAAACGTACATAGGTTGAATTGGACACATTTTTACCATGTCGAGGGTGATTACTCTGATGTTTACCATGCTTGATCAAGAGTAGGTTTCAGGAATTAGAACAGTAGAAAAGCAAACATAAGTCTATCTCTTTTGACTAGAGAGTCAATCAGGGTAAGCAACAGTGTTGGATTGTCTCACAATTGTTTTATACAAGCTATAAGGATGATAATAACTAACACTTACATTAACTAAAGGAGCATCAACACCAGGCACTCCTGCTACTAGACTTTCAGTTAAACAGGCATTTGTTGGAATGACTATATAGGATGGTAGAACACTAAAATCATCAGCACCTTCATATAGAAACTTTAGATAGTCCTCTTCTTTAGTCGACATACCAACTATAAATAGAGAAATGAAGAGCTCTGTTTAGTTCCGCGATATCAGTTAGCTGGAGGCAGTCGTACCGGTAAACTTGCCATCTAGGCCTACCAACCAACCAACAAGATCTTTTAATAAATTCATATAAAATCTACCCTTATATTGTTAAAATCTTTAGGGGAGAAGTGGACCATGTGATATTTACTCTACACTTTATTCAATGGTCCAGTTTATTCAATGACAGTGAATCAGATTGCTGGGTGAACCTTGCAATTTCATAGCGATGGGGCATTCATTTTTTCATGAAATTAATATAGTAGTACAAAGTCCATAGAAATTGCAATAACATACCTCCTAGGGCATAAAGAATAGCATCTTTAGGTGTATAGGTGAACTCTGCTGGTTTAGCTGTATGTGATTTAGCTAGCTGTGCATTCATACCACCAGAGTAAGATGCTACACTAGATCCTGAGGAACTCTCTTGTGAACCAGCTTCTATCTGGTCTATTATATTCAGAGAAAACGAGGTCGAATCTGAAAATACACAT